TGCGGGAGCATTGGTGGTTGTGTCATCCTTGCTCTATCTTTAGACTAAAGACCCCAGTTCTTTCAGCCTCTTCTTTCCAGGTTTCTGGCTGTTCTGTGGTTTCTCTTTGAACTTTCTCCAGCTGGCCCACAGCTCTCTGGGGGTGCATGGGCTTAGACACAGCACCCCGGTGCTGCACCGAGACCGGAGAGCCTTGTGTGTCTTTGGGCTGTGCTACTCCCTGGACATCCCACTATGGTGTTTGTCCTTTTGGGTTTGGGGAGCTTTTTTTTTGGTAGCATCATGACATTATTCCTGCTCAGTCGTGATCAGTTTTCCTCTTCCGTGGTGTCCTCTAGGTTCTCCTGGTATTCTTCTCTATTACCACGGTGGTTATTTCGCTAAACTTGATAAGCGTGGGTGACATTAAGCAAGAACTGGTTAGAACTAAACCCCTATTCGGTTTCTGGCTGACAACCCTTTGTTCTCCTTACTGCACTTTTTGTGATGCTTAAAACAAGGACTTAAACAGCGGTTGGCCGAATTTCCTGTCTTTCCTAAGACTTGCTTGTCCCGCATTCCTACTGATGGAGGAATGTGTTACCATTAGCATCCTGGTCCTACTCCCGTGTAGTAGTTATTGTTGGCTTCTTACGCTCCCCCCGTGATTTCAACAGCGTGTAGTTTTTCATGCCCGCTTTGTTGAATTGTGTTACTAAACTCTGGTAAACAGATTTCTGTGAGAAGTGGCTGCAGTTCAATGGTGGATGAAATAATCTCTTTATATAAATTTGTTCGTAGACCTCTGGGAAAACCAGCGTAATATAATTGTAAGAATATATTTAATATTAAGGTTGTTGTGAATTGTCTTTTTTTTGTTTTGAAATTATTTTTATCCTTTTTTTTTGTCATCTGTTTTGTGACAGTGATGGAAGTTTGCCATTTGCAAAATCCACAGATTCGGATTGGGGGAAATGTTCAAAATATCGGGAACAAATTAGGGCAGGTCAGTCTTACTGGCTGTGGTGCTCTCACTTCTTTCAGAAGTGTAACCGTTCAGTTTTGGAAGATTTTGTAAAATATGTCTGAAGATCATGCTTTCATTCTGGAGGAAGACTAAAACCCGTGATGGTGAAGACCCCGTGGAAGTGCAGTACGCTTGCATATTTCTTTTCCATTCGTATCAGGGCAGAGACAAAGCAAATGTACTTGGTAATTTGTCAATAAGAGACAAGGTTTGTAGTTTCTCTTGTTCAATAAAACTTAACCCTCATTCATAAAGATCAAAAATACGCTGTATGTACTTTTAAAATCCACAGTTCCCTGGATTAGAAAAATAAATGTTCTACTGTGAAGCCTCCCATAAAAATCAAAAGTGTATGATTTGTTGGTATATGTATTTTTCTGTTTAAAAAAAAATCACCCGCTTGAAAAGCAGTATATATGTAAAGAGAAAATTTGTTAACTGATATGGGAAGATCTAACCCTGGGTCACCTGCAAATCTCTCAAACAAGAGCTCCAGGGCAAGTCCTAATTCCAGAGAGTAAAAGCGAAAATTAAAGCTATAGCTAGTGACTCCTCTAAGTTACCCGGGGTGGATTCATTTGAGTTTCATTGATTGTGCTTGTGAATATAATGTGAAAGGGATGGTAGAGGTCTTCTCAGCCACTTCCCGTCCAAAGTTATCTCCATGGAGACAGAAATATAACCTGATGGTCTGTCAAAAGTTGCTTTTCATAACCAGAGGCATCCATTAAATAGTAGATGAAGCAGAAGGCAAACTTTTGCATTTTTAACCAACCTAAAAAAAAAAAGCCATTTGGAGAATGTGCTTCATGGAGTAGTTTATCCAGATACCACTGATCTCTGATGACCTGAGAAAGAGGCTGTTAATGTGATAGATTTAGTTTATAATTTGAAGAAGCAGGGAAAATGATAAATATCACATGCAGTAAGTCAAACCCCAGCAGATACAGCGCAGAGTCAAAACCGTCCAATAGCTGATCTAATTCTGCAAATTCACACAATTTTGATTGCACGTGAAAAGCTTACAAAACCTTCCGACCGGCTGGGTTTTCCAGCGCTGAGCGGGTCAGGGGCTTACCTGCGTTCTTGCGGCGCGGCCGAGGGAGCGCGTCGGTGGTTGTTTCCAAGGTGGGAATGGTGTTTCGACGAGCGCGTCGAAGTGTTCCTCGATACTCTTAAAATGCGCACCGCCCCGTTTTTGTCTTGCTTTCAAGCAGCGTTTTCAGTCGTGTCGCTGTTGCCCTTTCCCTATTCGAAATCCTTCGTGGAAGGTGCAAAACCACGACAGTGCCGGGCTGCTCCCTGATCCCCGAGTGCTCTGAGCGTCGCGCGCGACGCCCCAAACGCTCGAGCTCTTGAGCTCTGGGATCCCTCGAGACGAACCTGCCTCCTAAACTTCTTATCTCCCAGTAGTGCACGAAAACCAGACGGTTAGGGGAGGGAAAAAAAGGAGCGTGGGTGAACAGGAAGATAAAACATTTTATGCTGAGTACTTTAAAAACTGTTCTAATGTGCTATAAAACTGGATGCTGCGCTTTTTCATGAACTGTGCGCAAAAGGAGAAGCGCTGGCTGTAAAGTTGTCGTTAGTTAGGTTTGGTTTATAGTTGCAGAGGCTGCCCAATAACGTGATCTTGGAAAAGGTAAACAACATAGTTTTAACAGTGAAAAATATGCCTAATATAAATACAGCTCAGTTCATTGCTGTTCAGAACTTGAAAAATACGACTGTAACGTTGCATTTTCTAGCGGAGTTAACAGAGGAGCACAGTGCAGCCTTACAAGCAATATATCTGAGACAGAGAAAATAGGTAATACATCTAACTGGCGAGTCTCTGTGGCATTCGCATAGAGGAAGGCACAGTAGCTTTATTTAATTGAGAAAATGAATCAATTACAATGATGTTGCATCATCAAATGCAAGGGAAATAGCAGCTATGTCATTACATCGGGTAACGGCGTTAAAAAGTAATTGAGTGTCTTAAGCATTTTGAATCAATTCCAGGTACTGGCACAGCTACCTTAATGCAAAATTTATGAAGATGATCTCAAAATAATATGTCGCCATCAAAATTGTGTAATAAAACCCAGTAACGATGCGTGTGTGAGTGAGCACGCGTCTCTCCCTCGCGCAGAAGCTCGGCCTGCTGCTCCGGCGGAGAGTTGCAATATCACAGAAAGAATTCTGTAATACATCGATTTGCGTTGCTTTATTTTTCATTAGAAGCACGGAGCGCTTTTATTAGAAATAATATTTTAAATCTTGTTCTGAAATTGGATGTAATCGTATCTGTGTTGAGGCTACTATGTATGATGCCACCTCGACTCCTTTTCATGATAAGACCTGTTTTCCCGGTAAGGAAAATGTGACTGATGCTCTGTTTGGATGAAAAACTGAATCGCCTGTTCACGTGCGCTAACCTAAAGGAGCTGCGAAGCATCCCTACTGAATAAGCCGAGACTCGTTTGCCATTTAGCATCTGGAAGTGAAGTATGAAAAAAGTCTTTTTACATCCACAGCGTATTTTGCTTATTAGCAATAACGCAAAACAGCACATGTGTTCCGTCGAGTTGTCATAGATTGACATTGACCGTTAAAAAATACAATGGGCTACTTCTCTCTGTTTATTATTTTCTTTTCTTCCTTGGAAAAAAATTTGAGTTGTACGCAGAAACCTTATGTGCGTATTTGTGCGCTACTAATACAATAACGAAAGACTTCACCTATAGCATAATACCAGCTATTTCCTTGGTGCTAGTTTTCAACCTCCTCTATATTACACTTTACTACCTGTAAAGTATTACTAGAGGATCCTGCCTCTGGCTGGGTGGTGGGGGAGACGCTTCCAAAGCTGATGGCAGCCCTGCGACATTCATCATCGTGGCACTATACAGCAGAGAATAGGAAACGTAAGGGGCGAGCCAAATAAACTGGGCTAGAACAGAAGACAACATTTTCACTAAGGATGACGGCATTCTCTTTGCATCGTGGTTATGTTGGGTTGCAAGCAACTTTGTGTCCGTTTACGAAAAATACGTCGCTCGTTACCCACACCCATTAGAAATAGTACGCATATACAGATTTTCAGAATCCCGGCATCCCTAAATTCAGCCAGATGTTTTGCATCGTGTACCCGCTCTGTGGTTTGTATTTCATTGTTTGTATTGTAATTCCGCCCCTGTTTCTTTTTGTAATCAAAAGGTGCTTTGCCAATATGGGCCAGGATATTTCGTAGCTCTCTGTAAGCAATCGAATGGTCTGTTACCACGAGCTACTAATTAATTTCCCGACCAAGCTGGTGGTAAGAAATTTCAGGAGGGCTCAGAGACGGCTGCTGACAAGTCTTCCCTTTGCCGTTTAAACCACTACAAAGTTCATCCAACTTTCCAGCCTCGCAGATGGCGATGCTCTACTTATAGTCAAAGTAAAACTGGGTTGCAATAGATAAGAAACTTGGGTAAAAGTGCGGTATTAAAGGCTTTCCTGAGCAGCGGCAGATACTTCAACCACATAATTAAAGTTTTCATCACAAAAAAGGGATTGTGAGCAGAGTCTGGCAGTAATCCAAAATTCTAATTTCTGACTATGATTTAATTTCAATTTTAAATAAATCGGTTTTTAATTTAAAAAGAGTGAGCTTCATAACATTAGCAATGATTGCAACATTAAGCCCAGTGTTCACAATCTAGCAATATAAAACATTATTTATATCTGAATCGTAAACAGCCTTTTGAAATGGATTATGGTTTTTCTTCCTATTCTAATACAACCTGGAGGGTACTAAAAAGTGTTGTGTGAAATTAACATTCTGCTGACTTTCGCCTATAAATGAGAAGCGAGCTATTAACATTTGTGTATTTTCATTATGTAAATTGTGTTAACACATGCCCACAAATTGCCACCAGCGATGCAATAATTTTCTCTCAGTGATCATAATGTGTCCAAGTGAGTCATTTTGATTATGACATGCTAATTACATATTGCCTTTTTTCAGATTCAGAAAAACCAGGGATCTTTAATGGTAAGCTTTATGAGTTCAGAAAAAAATTCACTTTTCTTTTTCCTGATGGCTGCTTCCTCTGCATGCTTGAATGCCTTGTTTTAAACTTAGCAAATTGCATTTTGAGGAAAATGCAAACCTTTAACTGCCTGTATTAGATTAGGTACCATTAGAAATAATAGAACATCCTGAGCATCAATGTTTTTATAAGAGTTTGCTGCTGTTGATTAATCTTGCTATATTTTATTGCATTAATGATTTTTTCTTTCCACTCCACTGTAAAGATATTGCATATAGGCTAATACTTTTTCCCTCTCTTCTTTCCATTGCAGCCTCTCCAGTTATTGCAGTGCATTGTTGATGAGGTGAGTCGTCGTCTTATGTGCTTTCACTCCTAAAGTCATTCCTAATGGAGTGGAAAGCTTATATTTTGTTTCCTAATGAAGCACAATGCCCAACATCCTCAGAGCACAAGTTGCCTTGTGCAGCTTGGAGCTGTCGAACATGAACTGGCCTCGTCCCACTTTATGCTGTTTTTCTACTCTTAATATCGAGTCTCTGAAAGACTCGATCGTCTCAAAGGCTAGTCCTTTTAGCTGCTTAGGCCCTAAAGCCTCAACCTCGCCATGCGAGTTGATCCCCTGCGTTTTCTGGATGAATTGGAACAGAGACGTTCAAGCGGCGACACGCTTTATAGCGGGCGTATTTAATGCAGTTTAGATGGGCAAAAGGGTGTCTTGACAAGGAGAGGAAACCAAAGTGTAAGCAGGAAAGCATCTGAAAGTCATCTAATTGTTTTTTCTATTTGATCAGAAGACAAAAAATGAAAAGCCGAGCTCTGGGAGATCCAGGTGTGAACAGTAGACTGAATTTCAGTGGCTAACGTCACGTTTCTCGATTGGAACACTTCTTTGCAGCTCCAGTTTCCCAAACTGAGGTGTAAGCAAGGGGTCCCAATCTTGGCAGTAAGGCGATAGCCGAGGGCAGAGTGCTGTCAATTTTGCTTTGTTTTTAATGTTTAATATGATCACGATGATGATGATAATTAGAAAGTTTGAACGAGAGAAAAAAGCCATAACTTTTTAAAGACTTGCATCAGCCTCTAATAGAACGTCGTTGATGGCTCGTCAGGTTGGGGTCGCTGGGTGTTGACGTGTCCGTTTAGACTGTTCCACCACTTCCAACCTGTCCCATGGAACATGTCTGTTTAGCTTGATGTAAGCTCACAGCCAGTGCGATGCCCAAAGTACTCTGTCTCGGTTGTACCTCCATCTGTAACTGCTACTTGTATGAACCCACCACTCTTACCTGCGGTGAACACTTTTGTCCTTTTATTAGAGACTGATTTAGTGGCTTAGCTGAACTTCTTTTTAAAAGTGACATTTGGCCCTTGAGGGATGCAGTTAAATTAAAATGAACAATTACCCGTTGCGTGAAGGAAAGAAGTTCTCCTCTTTTACCTGGCTCTTTACGGTGTTCTGGTTCTTTGGGAGGGTTTTGGGCAATCCTGTTTATTCCATCTTTTTTGTCCATTGTTATTCCTGAGGCATGGAAATTCCAAAGCACCAGTGCTATATATACGATCAGCAAAAGGCCATTTCTACCCTAAAGAAGGTCGGTTAGAGATGCCCGTATTTTTACCTGTGTTTTGCTACTGATAGCCAAATTACTTCTAAATGGGCTGGTACTAGTGCCTAAATCTAAGATCAATATTCTAAAACGCAGCCCTAGAGAGCTGCAGATTATTAGTATTATTAGACCTTCTTACTGCTTTCCCGTCTTTTCCTGAAGATTAGAATTGCTCCAGTCTTCTCACAAAAACTTTAACCAACGAACTTTGTGCCACTGTAAACATCTGAGTGCTGAGCTAGCTTTGGTATTTACTTTTTTTAACTTATTTTGTGTTCCACAGTATGCCACGGAGCCATCATTCTCCTGAGGTGGTGGTTCTCGGTGCACTGTGGGCACGTAAAGACTTCAGGTTACAGAGCATAGCTCAGCTGAAGGTTCTCTACGTGCAGCTCGTGGTGTTCTGCGACACACTCGATGTCTAAATGGAAGTTGCGTGTCATAACGTTCAGAGCCTGAGGGGAAGGGGAGAATGGATTGGCTCTATAGTGCTATTTGCTCGGTGCGTGTGTATTGTTAGGGGGTCATTTAATAAGATATATAGCGTTTAGAGAGTGGCTGCCATACCTGGAAGTGCAAATTCTTGGCATGACGGTGTCTTGGAGAACATTTGTTTTAAGGGGTTTTCTGTTCTAGCTCATGGGTAGCGTTGACTTTAACAGATCCTCCTGCCGCCCCCAGCCCTGTTCTGCGTACAAAGACCTAAAGCAAAATGTGTTTAACTTGTGACTTTTTTTTTCCTCCTCACTTTGTCTGCTGTAAGATGGGCCTCCTGGGGAATAAAAGAGGGACCTGCTTGTTTGGCTGATACGCGCTTTTCCTTCTACGCAAGGACCTTTTGAGAGAGAAAGTCTCTTTACTGTCTGGTACTGTACAGCTGCTGTTACTACCATGAGTATTAAGGATTAGAAAAGCTTAGTGTTGTAAGACTGATTGTTTTGGGTCAAATTTTCCCCTTGGCTGTAAGGAGGTCCTAAAACTCACAGGAGGTAGGAGCAGAGCCCCTCTCCTGCAGCTGAGCCGCACAACCCATCCCCACAGGAGCCCCCAGATGCTGGTGCAGAATTCCCCACCTACCTTAATGACGATCAGAACAGCAAGGAGTGACGATCTGTAGCTCGCCTCTTCTTCCAAACAGCGCACAGCAGCGCTGCCGTTACGGCACGGCTTCTGGATGAGCCGAAGCGTCATAGGCTGTGGGATCTGCAAGGGTGGGGATCGAGCTGCCTCAAGGATCTTCGGTCCCCGGGTAGCTTCATGCCGTAGTAATAATTTCCTGAAGTTGTTGCCATTGGAAACTCTGGGTCTTTTTTCCTCAAGTCCCTTAATACGTCTTTTTGTGTGACAGAGAATGGTTTGGGCTCCTGGCTCCTGAAGTTGTGATTAAAGAGCTCTGTGGAAGAGAGCGTTTCTTGAAACTGGGTCTTTGCTGGCAGCGTGCTTACCCCGGTCTTTCCCCCCAGAGCTGGGTGAAAACTCCAAAGCCTGATACGGGAGAGCCGAGAAGTTCTTTAAAATTACGAAATGGAGGCCCTGACTCTTCATTAGATTGGTAGTCACTGGGTTTTGTAGAACTGTTTCACGTTCCACCAAAACACAGCAGAAATCCAAAAGTTGATGTTCTGTTGATTCCTAATCATTAATTCATCGGATTTATTGATGACTGAACTAGTCAAGAGGTTGCTTCTGTATTGCCTAGGTATCCTGGACTTTTCTCAAACTCTGTGAGGTGGCACACTATGGAATAAAAATTGTCCATGGGAGTTTGTAGATGTTCTCCAGTAGTGAGATTTTTGGAGCTGTCTTTAAACTCTTGGTGAAATATATGAGACAGAGCAGGTCACTCTGGCAGTTTTAAAAGTCTGTTTGTTCATTTTCTAGGGCTTAAATTTACTTGCCGAAACGCTGCAGAATGAATAAGTCATTTGAGAAGCAGGATAATTTAACAAAAAAATATCAGGCACGGTGGTTCTTCTCAAATCACAGTAATCTATGCCTGACAATCTTTTTTTTTTTTTTTTTTGTTAAATTATGTTATTGGGCTTTTAATGGCATTGGTTCTGGGGTTATTTTTTTAATGGCAAAATTAGCGAGCAGCATTGTGTGAGCAGGACACATGCCTGCCAGGACCTTTATTTTGTAACATGTGGTAACTTATAATGAAATCTGATCCAGCTACAAATAAGACATGCTCATTTAAGCAACAGCCCTAATCGTAGCAGCATCTCCCACCGTGGTAAGACTCCTGGTCCAAAGATGAGGCTAGACAAGTTGTTGATGTCGTTCATCCTGCAACACCGCCAGCAATAAAGGCAGTCGGCTGTTATTTGGGAGCTGAGAGTAATTTAATATTCCAGTATTCAACGTAGTTTGTCTCCAGCTCACCAAAATGTTATATGGAAAGCACTGAGCAGTGCAGATGAATCCCTATTGGGAAGGACATGCATCGCTTGCTGTGTGTGCAGTCTTTCCAGAAACACTCCAACATGAAGGAGAATGGTGTCCTGCTGGAAGCAGGAGCCGTCGCCTGGCTTGGAAGATGTCCTAGATGTGGCCCCACGTTTTGTGATCGTGCAGCCAAAGAATTAGCAATGCAATCTACTCAGCAACAGGATTGTGCATTTAAAAAAAAAAAAAAAAAGTTTTTGTCATCAGAATCTATTCCAGGTGATAATTCAGAAATACAAACAACAGAGCCCCAGAATAATACCATTAATGTTGCAGACCCCAGAAACGATGCATTCGAGAAATGCAGGCCACCCAATAGTGGGTTGACTCTGAAACCTACTTAGTCAAACCACTTAGTGGGTTGACTCTGAAACCTAAAGATTGCCAGTAAAATCAGTGTGCTTTTTACCCTTTATTGCTGCTCGCAGTCTCAGAATGCCTCCCACGATTGGTTGTGTTTTTTTTTTTATCTGAACAAAAAAATCTTAACTGTTCCCTGTTCAGCCTCCAAATCTCCAGCAGCCTCCCAAACAACCTACATGGTCCAGTTAAGTGTTCTCTGTGCTGATGTCTGCAAGAGTCACTCACCAAATCAAATTCCGTTTCCAACCAGAGATTATGAGAATCATAGCCTTGATTATAATTGTGCATTTTCCTTTTAATGCATTAGAAAATTCTCAGTTTAAAAGGTAAGTAAAGGTGCTCTAAATGTTCTGTTTGGTGAGCAGCGGGTTACTGGGCTCTGCAGCTCTGCAGCAAAATGTGGGGTTAGGTTTTCAGGAAAATCAGAGCTCTGATCGCAGCTTATTTTTGCATTCCTTGCCGTTGGTTGAGAAGTGGCATTGTTTTCAAGATTCTTCCAACCTGTAGTTACTTGTTGCCGAGTTATCTCGGTGTCAAAATATATTGTGTAGGACGTTACATTTAGTTACTTCCTCGGCTGTATTCCAGATGCAGTATTTCTAAAACCTTCTAAAAATGTCACTTTTCCTGATTGCTAGTCAGATCAGCATTTAGTAAAACACCCAGCTGATTGCAGCTTGTAGATGACGATCCCAAAAGGCCAAACCCGACAGCTCTCAGTTTTTCAGCGCGTCAGCTTCCCATCCTTTTGATCCTGTGGCTCTTGGCTTTGGAGGTACCTGCTCTGCATCCGGAGGAGGTTGGGTAGAACCTTGCGCTGTGGAATGCGTCCAGTAGACAGTCCTCCAGACTTAAGCAACTCCTTTAAATTTTCCTTAAGCTCTCCAGGGCTCTTTTGTTTGACCTTTATTTAGTTGGAGTATCC